CTTAAGTAAATGTGGCATCTAAGTACACTAGAATCTGTTATTTCCGGAAATATAGAGAAAATAACAAGTTGTGACAAAATAGATTTGCTTCTCTCTTTACCTCATCTACAAAATAATCTCATAAAAAAAAGGGGAGCTGAAGGAGCAATATGTGCAAACAGGGCACAGGTCATTTCACCGCAAATTGCAGATATATGTTTCTGTCCCACCTCCAGCGGGCACATTACACTGCTGGCTATACAACTTGTCACCTTTCTCTGACCTTTGGTTAAAATGAATTTTCTATAAAAGCAGCTGATAAAGTAAAATGGAAGGCATAGTCAAACCTATAATCTGTGACATGTAGTTCACCTAAGGAGCAGAGATATTGTAACATTTGAATAAGGTTAAAAAATGTTCTTTAAAGTAAAACATACATTTGAATTTGGATCCTTTTTTGTGTATTTAGATTAGGGCTGCTCAAATAATCATATTTTAAATCGCGATTACGATTATGGCTTGCAACGATTACGAAAACCACTTAATCGAAATAAAACGATTATCTTTTTATTATTATTATTATTTTTATTTTTTCAGTTGAATTATTCTTAAACCTCAGGGTAATCAACTGTTAAAAACATACTGTTCAAAAAAAATTCTCCAATAAATGGATGTTTTTAAAGTAAATGAATAATCGCATTTAATAATCGCAATTACAATTATTGACCCAAATAATCGAGATTATGATTTTTGCCATAATCGAGCAGCCCTAATGTAGATACATAAAAAAATACTCAAATTCAGCTAAGCTTGGATTCATTCGCCTTGCTGGTTGGTGTGATGGCAAAACCCACTACATTTGTACCTGTAATTTAAATCAAAACATGTATATAATTACTTGCTATACCCCATTAAAATAACCTAAGCCTGAGACAAATATATTTCAGAGAAAGTGTTCCCTTGCCTTTTGGTGTTCACTCTAATCTAAAAGGCTGAGCACCAGAATGAGGGAACAGATTTCTGACATGGGTGGCCTCAGTGGGGCCGCCTGAGTTGTGGATTTAGAATAAGGTCTGAGTGTAGAATCGAGGACACGAAGCTCCTCGACAGGACTGCACAGTCAGGTGACAAATGGTGCCCCAGGCCAGCCAAGTGCCAGAAATGACCTCTTAATCAATCAGAGGTCACCATGGAGGCTCAGTCCAGACTGCCTTCACCCGGAGAGGCAGCCATCTGATATAACACTCAATGCCAAGCCGCAGAGCACACAACCTTTTCTCCTAGTTAGCACATCACTGCTGCTCTTAATGGCATCTCATCAGTTCTGAAAAGCCAGAGCAGATAGTCTTTCTTTAGCTCGTTCATTATTACAGTAACAGTAAGTCCATTGAGCTGTCTTCGATTAACTTCGATTAACCGCTTAACTTGCCCTATTGTGATTTTATATTCGGAAATAGAGCTGCAACCAACAATCATTTTCATTATTAAAACGTTTTTTGTGTTGTTAAATGTTGGAAAATAGTGAACAATGTCCCGTGCAGCTTCTCAAAGACCAATGTGATGTATTTTTTTGGTCAAAAACCCAATCATATGCAGTTAAGTATATAACACAGAGAATAACAGTCTCTCTATTTGAGACATTTTGTATCAAAAATTCTTTAAGAATTGTTGAATTATCAACATAGTTGGCGATTATTTTTTCTGCCAATCCATTACTTGATTAATCAACTATTTCTTGAAGCCCTTTCGTTCTAAAATGTTTTAATTAGCTGGCAGGAGACAGTGATGTTGTAGTAAACCATCCGACCCTGTGCGTCTCTCTAGCGCCTATCCTTGACATAGGACCATCTGTACCGGCATTTCAGGCAGTAAATAAGGGAGTGGAGGTTAGTGCACTCTTGGTAGGCCCCACCTAAGGCCAAGCCCTCACATTCTCCTCTGCCCCCGGAGGATCACCCTCACACACCCCCTGGGGCCGACCTACACACTGACCGGACCCCAAGGGAGCGTATCAGGCTTTAGGAATAGCACAGGCCTTCTGTCCTCTGTCTTCACACCACCCTCCACACATGTCACTCTACTCTCCCACCATCCCCATCCATCTCTCCATCTCCCAACATCAATACATTCATCTGTCCATCCTTACTATTAATCAAAACATTCAATCTGTCTATAAGGTCTTTGTCATTCACCCATCTGCTTCACTACTACTACTACTACTACTACTACTACTACTACTAAGTTCGTAAATCTGTCCCAATGTAATGTCTTAATTCATTCTCCCATGACTTCAATATGTGAAAAATCATGTTTTATACAGAATTATTTTGTAAAAGGATTTAAAAACTATGTTTTTTTGCAGTAATCCAAATACTGCCTCAGCCGATCAGTGTTCAATCTTTTTTTCTTCCTAAGTAGTCATCATTACAAAATAAAATGTGATATTTTCGAATGTCCCGAGTAAAAACACTACAGTAGAAGGATGATTTATCCTTTTACCTTTTAACCTTGGGTCAATGACAATTTATGTTAGTAGAAATATAATTAAACCAAGCAAATTAAGAATTGTCAAAGCCAACAACAGTGCAGCAAAACCCATTAAAACTTACTGCAACGATGTCACCTTACAGTTATGCCCATGATAAAACTGTCAATTCACTGGACAAAATGACCAATCGATACGCCCACCAATCACCACACGCCCATAGATCCATATACGTGTTCACCCGTCCTGAAACTCAGTGCCTGCGTTGGCGCAAACCTTTGACACATTGATCTATCCATCTTCCCCCTTTCCCATTTCCCACCATAACAGATGCTCGTGCTGATTCAGTACCCAGGGGATACAGGGACATCACATGGGATTAACCTAGAATTGACAGAAACATTGACTGGTGAGATTGAAGCATGAGACCTGAAGAAAAGACCAAAAGTCTCATAAATGACTGATAAACTATAGACCGGCTCAAAATCAGATCAGATAGCTGATGGTGTGACTGGAGTAAAACTGGAGACTACAGAGGACCTGTAGAAAAGCAAAGTGCTGTCAAATGAAGAGATTGGATACTGAGTACTATTAGCCTAACCCCCTCCAAAAAAAAAAGAGGAAGAGGGTGGGACCAGTGAGGGACAAGCGGGGACAAAGACATGCAAGAAGTGCCAAACCGGGATCAGGAAGATCAGCAGTGCAAACTAGTGTTTCCTGTGCAAGTATTGAGATGCAGATCCCACTTTCTCAGCTCATAATGGGGGCTGTCGGGAGTGTGTGTGTGTGTGTGTGTGTGTGTGTGTGTGTGTGTGTGTGTGTGTGTGTGTGTGTGTGTGTGTGTGTGTGTTTTCTTCGGACATATTCTCATACATCTGCTAACCTGCTTTTCTAATGGGGTGCAAATGGGCCTCCATTGTTCCTCCCTGCAGACCTGTTGGAATGACCTGACACGTTTCAGCTTCACATGCATACGGTAACATGCACTCACCCTAATGTTTACATACACATGTAGACTACTACCTAATGTTTATGTATAGGCGAAGCCCAAACTAGGAAGAAAAGCTTCATTTTATATTTCTAGATGCATTGTTTTTATAGTATACAATAGTGTTTTCAATAAAGTAACATTATTTGTTTTACCTAAAAACAACACTCTGGTATGCATTTAGTTAAAATGTGAATATTAGAAATAATATTGTGGCCAAACATTTCTCTAGAATATATAATGTTTGCATTTATGAGACATGAATGTTAAACTTTGACTTCAACTGTTGATTTTATAGCTGTATATCTCCACTTTTAACAGGCTCGAATAATAAATTGCATGATGTGTTGTGGTAGTAGAGGGAGATTTGTGCTTTAGCCATCTCCCTCTTAAATCCAAACATTTCTAAAGCTGTGTTTTACTAAGCAGCCACAACTCAGCTGAAATGATTTTTACTAGGCGCTCTTGCTGACTTTGAGTTGGGGGATGGGGTTTAAGAGAAGTGGGGGGGCAATACGGGGTCACACAGGAGGAGAACTGGGAGGGAGGGGGTCGCTTTTTCTTTCTCTCCGAGCTCTAGGAAAGAAAGGAAGGAAGCCAGAGCAGAGAAGCCCAAACCAACTGAGGAGAGATGGATGTGGTGAGGGGAGGGACCGGAGCAGGAGCGCCGCTCATTGGTAGGCTGCAGATCTCTCTCTGGATGGATTGACTTAACACGGGTCGAATTACACCATTTGCCGTGCATTAGTTTGTTTTTCTCTCAACCAGGAGAAGTTGATTCACTACGACGCGCATAATCATTATTTTCTGGATTACAGCAAGATAAAAGGATACAAAATAAGCAATGCAGATGAGGTGAGTTTATTGCCGCTATACTTGGATATGGCCTACTTTGTTGCGAAGCATTACAAAGAGAAAGTCAAGAGGAAAACTAGAGAGGAGTATTTGCTGGGATACAAAATATTTCTCCTGACCACGTCGCTATGCCGCTGTGCAAAACTGATGCTTGCTGGACAGAAATAGTTCGGGTCCAGACTGTTTTTACTTACGCTTCAATCCAATTTATTATTAATGAATTCCTTCCGCGGCACGTTTATGTGTCCTGCTCGGAAGCGTCTTTCCAACTCCATAAAGCGGTGGAACAGAGGGCTGACCATACCTAAAGTCACCTCTTTATTGTTGGTACAGTTTACTCTTCCACTTAAGGCGGTCCGATTGGTAATAAGAGTTATATACGCGCATCGTTATTAACCCATACATCTAACTGGTTAATCTAAAACTAAATGAAATGTGTTAATGCTAAAACAATAAACAAGCACAACATAGTTTTTTTTTATTCCCGTGGATTTGGGCGATATCACGCTCGCAGTCAGTCCACACGCCCTCTATTATCTTGAGTCAACATTAAATCAATGATCGTACATGAAGTCAGTGCGCGGTGTAAGGATCGCGCGTCGTTAATGTTTATGTCTTTTCCCTCTGGTTTCCAAAGTTAATAGTAGTGCAAGGGGGCTGGTGTATCGCTGTATGAGGGAGGGGGCTGTGTGGTCGTGGCAGAGCTTTGAAGATCAGTCATCAGAGCGCAGGGGGACAGAGCAGGCAGGCGAAATGCTTATATGTGGCCAGCGGAGCCAAAATCGGTGCGCAACTGGATAAAAATAAAGAGAGGAAAGTGGGGTCCGGTTGGAGCTTAAAATTACAGGAATATTGCACACTGGGTGTTTTCTTTTAAATGGATTACCAAAGGAATATGACATTCAGTCGGATTGCCCCATGCATGAGTGCATTAATACACACAAGGTAGGTCCTCGAATATTTTTAATTATTGATATAGTGTATTTTATCTACAGAACACTTTGTGTTTATTATTAAGGTGGACCTTGGATTTAATTAAGGACACATCACTACAGACGCCTATGATACCCAGAGAGCTACTTTGTGAAAAAAGAAATTATATAAGAGAGTCAAGTGCTTGGATTTCAAAGTACAACACACCCAAGATTAAAATAGAGATGCAAACATAGATAACGATTTACCGAGAGTAAAATCAGAGCCACGACAATGTTGGTTTTTAACAGACCAATCGCGTAGATAAGTGTCCGTATTTCTGCTTTAATTTCAACCACAATAGCTCGTCTCTTCTTATGTGAATTTCCCCCAATTGTATTAAAAGGTAAAATAGATTAATTAAAGTGTTTCCGGAAGGTTTTAAATCACTAAAATCAACTTAGAATAAAGGCAGCCTGCACATGATTGGACGTTGCATGATGGCAACACGATATTAAACAATAAAGGCGAGTAGTACGGGCAATCGGAGTTGAAGGTTGTTGGCCGTACACCCACCATACATCTATTAAATGTATCCCCAATTGTATTGTGGTGTCCTTATAGTGGATTAAACATTGGAGAAGCGATGGTAACCTTTTTTGGAGGCAGAACAGCACGGGAGCCCAGCCCTGTGCATGCATTAAGTGCCATGGAGGCAGTTAAACGCAGCCCCATCACAGTTGTCAGTCCACCGCTGTCCCCCGCGTCTTTGTTGTCTTTTGTATTAGTCCTACATGTGGGCTAAAGGGATCTGAATAGATTTACCACGGGTAAAACTTGAATGCCTTCACCCAGTGTGGACAATGCTTGAATTAGAGTCCGGGCTGATGCGTGGATTGTGTGCGTAAAAGAGGAGCGGAAGATCCCCACGCAAAACTTGAAAAATTACCAGCGAATAAAAGAAGAGAAACAGAAGAAAAATAATAGAAAGAGGGAGATAATTGGGACGGTTAGCTTGGTTCAGGAGAAAACATGTAACTGTGAGTAGGTACGGGTAAATGTAGGAATTGTTCTGCTTTGTCTCATTGTTTAGGTAAAAATGGCCAAATGCATTGATGAGCAAAAGAAGACCAACTAAAGGGCTTTTACTGAAGTTGTCACTATACTAATCTGGTGTGCTACATTTATCACAAAAACAGCACATTCATATTCAATGTTTAGTATGTCTGTTGTCAAAAATATTGGATGCTTTTCTCTCAAGCCAGTGCAGTCCCTTTACAGAATTAAACACAGAGCAGATCGGTTTAAACTTACACCAGATGTGTTCATTTCCCTGAAACTTTGCGTGAGTGTCAGAGCTCAGTCACAAAGAGAGAAAAAAGAGCCCCAGCTGAGTTATTGAAACTACTTGATATTGGCAGGAACCACACACTTTGGTTGGGCCAAACATCAGAACCAGTGGTGGGTTCAGTCATCAACACAGCTGGCTGGTGTGTCTCACTCCACCTCACTGGCCACGGGGTCGGAACTCAGCGACCAGAACGATCACCGTTAACCTCCACTACAGCCGCCTGTAACCCCGGAACAACCGCCATTCAACCATACAGTGATCAGTGTTAACCCTTTAAACCATATGCCTAAATTGCCCCAAACTGCTGCTTGTAAACCAGATTGTCCAATGCTGAATTAGCCGAGTGATAAAAGTTTGACCCTGTTTGCAGCATTTGGAGTCAATGTGTTTATATAGTTTGTTCCCTTCAGAACCCCCTTTTAGGAGCCCCACAACAGCTCTCCTGAATGTAGGTCCACTGACCGGGGGTGGGGCCCTATTGTGTTGACTTGCCCAAAGCCCCCTTTGTTTCCTGGTCACACCTGCAGCTCAGCCCCTTTTGTGATCTACTATAGCAGAACTACTGCTGAGAACAACCGTTCTCCTGTTTCACTCCTCCTCTCGTCAAGGTAGAGAATAAAGGGAGGGAAGCACAGTTTAGGATGGCACAGCCTTCTCCTTCTGCCAATTATTTGAAGCAACAAGTCCAACCAAGCCCCTCACAAGTGATCCTTAGGTAAATAGCACGCGATTAGGGGTAATTATTACTGAAGTGGGAAACGGAGTAGTAATCATTTTTATTTCGTTTTGTCATGCTGTTCTCATTTGATATCAAGTGAATATCTTTGAGGTTTTGATTGAAATTATTAATTAATTGAGAAAATGACCTGCGGATAAAAAAATGAAATCAATCTTTATTTGTTTCCCTATAGTTTAGAGTAGAGGTAACAGTGTTATGGAATATATCCAGTTTTGAACAGTCTTGCATGCTTACACACGCATTAAGGCATACACACCAAGTGTGAGGAGTGAAATGCCTGAAACTAAACTCCTGGGCCATTTGATATCCTGGGCTGTTAGGTTTACAGATCAGTTTGGTGCGAGATGACAAGCCAAGCAGCCTCAAGCGGCAGTCGCCATTGTTGTGTTGGGATTACATCCACCCATCACACTCACACGCAATTTACGCAAGCTCACGCACCACTGTTGTTTGTCTTCTTTTTATTAGCCCCAATTCCTCTCAATAGGACTTCCCTTCAAAAATACACCCATTCAGTGTTGCAGTGGGGGAGAGGTTAGGGCTGACATTGGCCAGTGAAAGAAGAGCTAAAAAGGAGAACATGTGTTAATCTGTCATTTTAAGCTTGGAACCCTAAATCTGTAGCTGTAACTACTTGATTTGGGCTACAGACCCCTGCACCCTACATCAGTACAAATAGCAATCCACCATCCCCCTTCCGTGTTTAACACCATGGGTCTGAGCCAACAACATCAGCAGGGAAAGTGCGTGGTTGGAAGACATTGAAAAGCCTGTAATAACAGAGGTATAGTGAGGCAAGGCTGAATGGCACTGAGTTGCGTGACAAGCCCAGCATCTCTAGGCTTGTTGAGGCCTATATGCATGCACACACACACACACACACACACACACACACACACACACACACACACACACACACACACACACACACACACACACACACACACACACAAGAGGGCAGGAACCGGAGAGCGCAAAGAAATAGTCAATAGAAAACAAGCTGGGCTCACTAGAGATTGAGAAGTAATTTTAGATCGCTGACCTCTGGATGTCTCCCGTTTCTGTTTTACATTAAAGTTTCTGAGGGAAGCCTCCGCAGTGTGGCTGTTACCATGCAAGGAATCATGGGGGATCTAAGCTGGGCTTCTGCCTCTCATAGGAGTGTGTTTCTCTCGAATTGTTTAGTTAGAGAGAATGGCGGAAAAAAGTGGTGTGCTTATGCTGTATGATAGCACCATAGAATTTCAATGTGGAGCCTGGTTTATTTACCTTTCATACCTCCCCTTTTTTATTGTTGTGAAATTGGTATCTATTCCTTTCATTGCCATGACCTAGAAAGTCGGCAATGTATTTATTGGGCAAATAGATACACTCATTTCGTGGAGTGAGAGTATCTGAAACACTTTCGAGGAACACCACTGTCTCTCTTTGAAGAGCAGTGTCATCATTTCTCGTTTAGATTAAGTTGCTGACACTTGTTCTCTGTATAGATCTGGGAGCCTGTGTGCATATATCTCAGGATCGTTTGTGTCCAGAGATGCATTTGCATGTAGATTAGAGTATAATGAATGCCCCAGAGTCATTGGGGACTTTTCTAGTAAGAGGGCCCTCAGTTGTCCAGGCCTTGCATTACCTAATAATAATGACATTGAACCGTTAAAGGCCCCAGTATCCCACAGAGTGCTGAATGGCTATGATTAAACATTGTTGATGAAAAAAAAAGATGCCGGAAATACTTTGTTTCTATCCCCACCGCTTCCATCCTTTTATGTGACAACGTACAGGAACTGTAATTGAATTATGAGTGCCTGAAAAACCGTCTGTGAGCTTTGTATATGCTTTAGGGCTGTCCAACCTATTTGTGTATTATGCAATCCACTTATATATAATATATACTTACAGAAAGCTGACGTGCTGATGTACGGGTATGTGTATTGTTGTTTACAGGTTAACACCTCATTGTGCCCACTTTTCTGCTTAGCAACCATGTCTATAACGGTTAATTTAGCGTTTTTGCTTTTTAAAATGTCTTTCCAAGATTTCTAGGCAATTACAAGATGAAAGTGGCCAGATTGCGGATAACAAAGTTCTCACAAAGCTACAGTGATGTGGTAGAGTCCATAGATTGCCTCTGCAGGCTGCTGATCTGCCATGCTTCCTGTGTGGATCAATCAGAGCACTAATGGCTTGGCAGGCCAGGCCCAAAGACAGCCCCGGAGCAGGTGTGCTTTGGGGCTAATTGAAAAATGAGTCAATACTCTGTGTGCTTGTGTATGTGCATGCATCAGTCTTTGCATTACACCATTTGAAAGCGTGATTATGTATGTGCAGCCGTGTGTGTGTGTGTGTGTCCCAGTGTGCTCCCAGCTAATCCATCCCTCTGCCTGTATGACGTCTCCCGGTAAATTGTTTATATCCGTTCAGGCTTTGCCTGCATGAATAATTTGTTTGCCTTATAAATATTTGAATGCACACCGATCATTAATATGCACAGACACAGTCTGTCTCCAAAGCACTACTCCACGCACCAACATACACACTAAACTCCTGCCACTCCCACAATGAAATATTACCAATGTAGTTGATGGTGTATCATGTCTACAATTAGATGTGGTACAAAATATTATCCACAAAAACGACTTTGTCAAAACAACTGTACATGACTTGATCCTCCTGAGACAAAGATGAGTTAATCACTGCACTGCAATAAAGCGCACCTGCCCTGAAGAAAGGCTGGAGAAATAACATCCAACAGAGCGCTAATAGAAGGCAGCTAAGGTCAGTGCAGAGGGTACACTAGTAATGGTGATGAAGTTGTGCTGATTAGTTTGGAGCCTGGCTCTGGAAAAACCAATCTGAGCACAGATGTACTGAGACAGCATGCCCACAACGGTTCTAACAGAGTGGACTTCCGCTGCCTCCAACACACACGGAGACACCCCACCGGTCACTTGGCTGACCTTCCCTTAGACAGCAGATGCAGAGAGAGGTACAGGGGAAACGCCAAGCACTGCCACTGAGAGCTCAGTCATCAATAAGCACAAGAGGGCATGATGTGCGCCTTATGTTTCAATTTCACTGACCTAGTCGGTATGGACTAGAAAACTAAAACATCACAGCGGAAATTCTTACCATTCATGATTTAAAAGAAGGTTTAGAATTTGGCTCACAAGACTACAGGTTGCATCAGAACGATAAATATAACAGGAGGTTTTAAAAGTCATTCAACCAAAGCATTCTGTGTGTTTCCAGGTAACATCTCCACCACAGTGAAACAGGAAGTGTCGTCTGTGAGCAGCCATGGGCCAGAGAGCTGTGCTTCTGCTCAGTGAGCTGCTGCTGCTGCTACTGACAGCCTCACGCGCTATCCTCGCCGTCAGCTTCCCCGAGGACAACGTACCCCTTGATGTCGTTGACGCACACTGTGAGTACAAGCCCACAAATGAGCTCAGCAGAGATGAGGGTACAAATTACATCACTGAAGAAGTCAACAACTATTGTGATGTACACTTTTCTCACTCTAGCCGCATATGTATAAAAGACAAATGCAGACAGCCTCCTCCTTCTACATGTGTCAGCAGTTCAGACACAGGCATGCCATTTTCTCAGTAATAAAATCAATCTGCTCTATGGTCAGTCGCATCAAGTGGATACCATTTACATCTCTGTGATGTACTGGAAGAACAGAGAAATGTGCTGACATAGGCAGCCATGCTCTCTCGCACAAACAAAACACGACACATGGAATAAACTGTACCATCCCATAACCTTAACTGCTGTAAGACTTAAAGCAAACACACAGGATATTTCTTTCTACACTGTATTGTTAAATGTAGCAAGAGATGAGTGTTGTATATCCCTGCAAGAGTGCCTGTTCTTATACCTTAAGTTTCCCATTAACACTTTGTGTGAATGTGTGATGTTTTCACAGTTTCACGGAGATACCCTGTGTTCAGAGGCCGGCCCTCTGGCAACGAGTCACAGCATCGCCTTGACTTTCAGCTGATGACCAAGATTCAGGACACTCTGTTCATCGCTGGCAGGTAAACTCAACACACATACACACTCTCTCTCCTTCTCTTCCACACATCCCCCACACCAATATACTCAGTTAGTCCATGGCAGGTAAACAGTGGCATAAGGAGGGGGAAAAGCTCTTAGTGTTATTGGATCTGCAGCTTCTAGGCTGGTATTTGATGTATATGGCCCGCATTGATCCGAGAAAGGCGTCTATCATGCCGACCTAACGCTCTGTCAGGGTTTCTTGGCATCTTTACATGTCTTTTTGGTATTTATGGGCACTGGGATTAGTCTGACCGCCAGCACCAATAATGTAGCAGGAAATCTGCTCGACATCTACCGTATAAAACTCCCACCTCTGGAGCCCCTGTAATCACTTCCACATGTATCAGTGTGTGTCGTCAGGTGGATCCTCTTTTGGCCACTTTGGGCTATTCACATGTTTTGGCAAAAAAATTAAACAAGATGTTCTCTACGGTTTTAAATGTGGTTGTCATGTAAAATGTTCTAGCCAAGAGGTCATTCAGGGTGTTTTTAATATAAAAGCCGGTTGCATAAAACAACATAATTCACCATGAATCAACTATGCAACAACCTCGTTGTTCTTCAAATAGTACCGACATCTGAATTAGCTATATTTTTGTGTCATTATTTTTTCAGAAATTGGTTTAAACCCATTTCCTTCAGATTGTATATTACTGCAAAGCATAATGTTGTTTCCTGGCACAAGATGAGGGAAAACATAGTTCACAGGAAATGAGAACCTCTAATGACAAAGAACCATTCAGAATTGTTTTTCTCATAGTGGAGACTAAATAGAAACAATTATATCATTATATCAGAGTTGTACCTTATCCTCTATTATATTGTTAATAAGTATTTATGAAGCTCTAGATTTGTTTTTAAACAGAAACATTGATTGTGCTGTGTTGCTGAGCTGAATATTGTGTTTCTGTCTGTCCACAGAGATCAGGTGTACCTGGTCAGTCTGAGAGAATCCTACAGGAATGAGATCATTCCTTACAGGGTAAGATTCTCGCTGTTTTCTCAATCTACCAACACTAAAAGGGTTCCATAGAAAATACAGAGCCATTCATCACAAACTGGACAGGTTGTAAAATTGAGAGAGTGGAAAAGGGACGACTGTGTGAGCTTGTGCATGAGTGAGTGTATGTGTGTATTTAGTGTGCCGTGCGTGTGTCTAATGCTCCATGTTGGATTTTCACAGAAGCTAACATGGCGATCAGGACAAGCTGACAGAGACATGTGTGCCGTCAAGGGAAAACACAGAGTACGTATAAAAAGACATTTACCTTTTGTGTTATAAACATGTAAGCAGAAAAGAAGGCTTCCTCTAATAATGCTGTCCCATGTTATGTGTCTGATTTTAGGACGAATGCCACAACTTCATCAAAGTGCTGGTTCCCAGAAACGATGACTTGGTGTTCATCTGTGGTACCAACGGCTTCAACCCCATGTGCAGATACTACAGGGTAAGAATCCAGGGAACAATGGTGCATACATGCACAAAAATATGGACTTGTATTGTGTAATTGCTTTTAAAGTACTTTGGGTAAAGAAAATAATGTTTCAATTTATTGAAATGCATGTGACTAGACTCTGACTGATTTATGTGTGTGCTAGTGTTACCATGTATGTTGGTATTTACTGTGTCCCATGACGAAAGGTTTTAATGTGTGGGTGATTGTTGTGTTATCTTCAGCTGGATAACCTCGAGTTTGATGGGGAGGAAATCAATGGATTGGCACGATGCCCATTTGACTCCAAGCAAACTAACGTTGCCCTTTTCGCTGGTAAGGGTTGAAAACACACTCGCCCACACACACATTTACTCTTGCTGAAGAACTAATGGGTTTCTACTTACGCTCTCATTATCACCTCTGTCTTTACCACGATAAAACTGTGCCTGCAGCGATAACAACGCACCTAATCAAGCCTCTTTAAGAGAAAACAGAAACAACAGATCATTATAGAGCAGTGTGTCCTAATTTTTTGTGGCTGTACCTCTTGCTTTTTTTGTCTCTTAGAGGGGAAACTGTATTCAGCAACTGTAGCTGACTTCCAGGCCAGTGATGCTGTCATCTATCGCAGTATGGGTGATGGATCGGCCCTGAGGACCATCAAATATGACTCCAAATGGCTGAAAGGTAAGCGATTGCCTCTTCCTCACTCTCTATCTCTCTTTCCCCTTGGAGATACACGTGTCTACCTGCCAGCTTGCTAAATGCCCAATGGTGCCCTTGCATGGTGTATGTATGTACGGGGCTGTCAGAGCAGTTTTTGAAATGATAGAGAGCTCTCCTGCCTTGCCAAGCTCCACGGGGATATGGCCTGTTCTCTCCCAGGAAATCTAGGTCACCCCCAGTCATATACAGCCATGTACAAATCCCTGAAATATTCAAACATGCTCAGTGGTGGTGACAGTGCAAAAATACGCTTCAACTCTCTGCTTCTGTCTCCCTCTTAGAACCTCATTTCCTGCACGCAGCAGAGTATGGGAATTACGTGTACTTTTTCTACCGAGAGATTGCAGTGGAGCACAGCAACCTGGGAAAGGTAAGACTGTGCACCTGCCGTTTAAAATGCTTTACATATATTTCATACAGAGACCATATGCAGGCCTTTATCCAAAAAAAGGCTTACACCTCCCTCCGTGCATGTGTTCTTGCCACAAATGGTCCCAGCTGTAATGGGGCCCATTCAGGCGAAGACAGTACATTGCATTAGAAAACACGAGAAATGTCAGCAGCCAGTGTTTGCTGGAAATGTTCTACTAATGTAAAACCATTACACAGTGCGGAGATTTGTCTCCCGGAGATGTGAGCCCTGTGTCTGCCTCTACCGATGACACATGCAGAGGGCATTAGGATGTTCTGTGTTAGAGGCCAACTTTAGATTTGACCATGTCTCATCCTGAGCGGGTCTGGCCGGGCAACAGGAAGCCAGCATCCTACATAAGCCACCAGCCAATAAATATTTCAACCCTACTAATGCTTGGGTGACACCTGGCCTTTGATGGAGGTTTGTGCTGGTAAATAATTAAAACTGCCTAAGCCAACTGCTTCATACACTTCATTTAAACTTGAAGCCTTGGTAATAAGTGCAATCCAACACACATTCACATGGCGCCGCATCGGGCCAGAAGGGGCATGACTGGTTAGCTCCAGTCAGGGTGAATAATCTCAGCACACAAAGTTAAAGACGAGTGTGTGTGTTTGTAAAGTCGTTACCCCGAGTTGCTCCAGGATGGAGAGATGCATTATTCAGCATGTTGAAGTGTTTTTTAGTGACGTTCACTCAGCTGCCTTCCTCTTCCGCTGAATCTCTTAAACCCATGCTCTTCGCAGGTTGTGTATTCTCGTGTGGCTCGAATCTGCAAGAATGATGTCGGGGGGTCGCAGCGTGTGCTTGAGAAGCACTGGACATCTTTTGTGAAGGCGAGGCTTAATTGCTCGGTGCCAGGGGAGTCCTTCTTCTACTTCGATGTGCTTCAGTCCATCACTGACATCATCAACATAAATGGAGTTCCCTCGGTGGTGGGCGTGTTCACTACGCAGATGAACAGGTGAGCAGCGGCTGGTGATAGACAGAAACTGGAGACAGAACATGTATAGAAATAAGAAAAATGTCAATCATTTGTGGATAAACATTGATGTATTTATATATTCACAGCATCCCTGGGTCAGCAGTGTGTGCCTTCTCTATGGACGACATAGAGAAAGTATTCTCGGGCCGCTTCAAAGAGCAGAAGACTGCTGATTCTGTGTGGACTCCAATTCCAGAGGATAAGCTTCCCAAACCCCGGTAAGAATTAGACTTTAAAAAAAAAAAAAAAGAAACAAGCAAAACAAAACTAAAGAAAAACAGGTGGTCAGCATCTGTTTACCACCTGACATTGTTTCACATTTTCTCAACCCTTCTTTATCCAGGTTAAACCCAATGAAATCAATTATTTTCCAATAGTAAGGGAGCTAGTTATTAGCTTTGACCCAGTACACACATTCACCATCTGCTGATGATTGAATAATTAATATGGCATAATTAGACGCGTTGCATATTTAACCTGTTTACAGTCAGCACATATATGTGTAGCCCTGCCCTGTGTCCAAAACACAAAGTCCACAAAGCACCTCATTACCCTGGTAAATCATTAATGGAGGATAACCATGCATATGCATATTTTATATTTCCAGCTGATGCCTTTTAGTGATCCTAATAAGCACCTGCTCCTCTCCCCCCAAGCTCTCGTTGCACTTTTCATCCATTTCAATAGACGCTATTATTACTCCCTGGTGTGTGATCGTATAGGCTGATCTTTGACCTTTTGCCCTATTTTCTTGTGCACCCTCCATCCTAGACCCGGGTGCTGTGCAGGTCATGGTCCAGCTGCGTCCTTAAAGAGCTCCATCGAGTTTCCGGACGATACCCTGCAGTTCATCAAGTCCCACCCCCTCATGGACACAGCTGTGCCTTCTCTTGGGGATGAGCCTTGGTTCACCAAGACTCGCGTCAGGTAAACACAGAAATACATTAAGCTATAACTATGTTTCTGAAACCTCGTTTTTAAAATCAACCCAATATAATGTCTCACATAATATGCAACATTTCTGGCACTGGATTTCTATTTAATGCCAACCCTTCACACAATGCCGTCTGAGAACTTTGTCTAAATATATTGCCTAAAAAAGTAAAGATTGGTAAAAAAAATAAAAATAAAAAAAGGGAATTTAGCCGTTCATCTTTATTATAATATTGAAGTATTTTTATTTACTGAGTTGCATAAGATCTTTAGCAATGTCTTCAACATATCTTCTTCTATCTTGTTTGTGTTAACCCCTGCTGTGAGTAACACATGCCTCTCTGCTGTGTGTATAGGTACAGACTGACAGCACTGGCTGTGGACAATGAAGCAGGACCTCACAAGAACTACACAGTGGTGTTCATCGGGGCCGAGTCAGGGGTTGTTCTCAAGGTTTTGGCCAAGACCTCCTCTATGTCTTTGAATGACAGCCTGCTTCTGGAGGAGATAGACGTCTTCAACAGGGCCAAGTAGGGATACTTGCACTTTGCACCCTCTCTCTTTCTGCCCCTCTTCTCTTTTTCTCTTCCCCTTCTGGCCGAGGAGTCAGCAACTCTTAAAGTGAAGCATCCTGGCACTGATAGCAGTGTCCGTCTGCTTTCTGTGCCTGCACAGCATGAGTCTGAATATCTTCTTTTGCTTATTTGTGGATGTTAACATGCACCCTGCAGTGTGTTAGAGGTTAAAATCCTGTTAAGCTGTGAGAGAAAGCTTTATGTGACTTTTCCACCTAACAAGTGATTAAATCTACTGAGACTGAAACAGTACACGGACTTATCAGATAAACCTCTGATCAGGTTTCTCTCTTCCCTTCCCAGGTGCCTGTCTAACCATGAGGACGACAAGCGTGTCCTCTCGCTGCACGTGGACAAAGAAGCACACAGTCTGTATGTCGCCTTTTCAAGCTGTGTCATCCGAATTCCCCTGAGTCGCTGTGAAAGGCATACTACGTGCCACAAGTAAGTGACGTTCGAATACACACGTAGGGGAGGCAAAACGCACTTTGTACAAATGGTCATAGGTTTGTGACTTTGTTTTGTGTTTTAGTTATTGCCATAAAGGCAATGATTACAGCTTTTTATTACGCCTTTGGTTAATGTTCAGTCGGTCACCAATGATTAGAGTGCACTTCCCAGAATGATTAAACCCCTTACTGATGGTTGTTTGTTTGTATGGCTTCAGGTCTTGCATTGCATCAAGAGATCCCTACTGTGGCTGGAAGCCATATGGAGCCTGTGAGAGGATACTGCCTGGTTTTCTGTGAGTCAAGCCCTTTTGATATAAAATGCACATGTATAGGGGACAATTAGTTATAAAGATTCCTTTTGCAACTCTTCAATTAATCTCCTCTTTTCTGTCTTTTAGGACTGGATATGAGCAGGATGTCGAATTTGGAAACACTACCCACCTGGGAGACTGTCATGGTACGATTCTCATCTTCATGCCATGCTTCTATCCTGAGACACATTCTAACAAAAACACACACAAACAAACACACAAACAAGCAGATCAAACACAAATTCATCTCCACACACACCATGAGCTTGCACACTCACACCAGTAACCACTCCAGTAACTTGCCCCTACATAAGTCTGTGAAGTATTAACACACACATCTGCATACAGTACATGGCCACCTGTAACTTATGCCACCAGTGAGGCAGAAACATGGACATGTACAATAAAAGGTCATGTTCAGCCGGTGCAAATGGTAGAGGTCTTAAAATATCCAACGGCCAGAAAATATGCCTTTGCCAATTTTACTGTAAAATGCTTGTCCCTTTATTTGTACCAACTGAACATGACCCCAGCTGAACCTCAGCATTGATCAGAACCAGAGGGCCCCCAGTGACTCCACTCCAGTGAGAAAGGGACACTGTGGGTGCTTTATATCTTTATTATTAAACCAAATATACTGCACTTTTGGTGTCTTTTAGGGATTTTGGTTTTTATTTCTGAATTCCTTTATACTGATTTCTTGTCCTTTTGAATTCTTTTAGCGTTTTTGGGCAGTACATCAGCGCCAGATTACAAATCATTTGGCGACCCTACCTCTGGTTAGTTTGATCTTTTACTCAAATGGTTTCTTTCCTTGAGTTCAGCATCTCCAACCCTGTCTTTCCTCAACTGCCACCATTCATCTTTTCTTACCAATTACCTCCTGAATGCTAATGTCACCAGCTTCATGTTCATCATCACAAACAACAGATTCATTGGTGCTCTAGCACAGATTCACTTCCTCTTTTTCACTCATCACTTCCTGTTCCCAATCACTCCTTCCACTTGCATGCCCTTCAACCCTCCTTTGGCATCCTTACTGTTGTGTACCAACTCCTCAGTGAATCTCAGTATCCTCTCCTTTTCCCTTTTCAAATTTTCTAAACAAAAATATACTTTCATTGTAAATGTGAACTGTGATAAGGTTATTTCACTTTTTTTGTCAAACATTAACTTTAAAAAGGAACCATTGCCCATGCCTACTGGGATGATACCAGTATGCTTTACCCACGTCTGCAAAGTTTGTTAACAATTTGTTTGTCACCACAGACATGGAGTTTTCATCAACGCCAGTCACTGCCCACCCCAGTGGGCCCATACTCCCCCCAGTACTCATACCCACTCAGAGCCCCAGCTCTGGGCCTGATCCAGAGCTCTACGGCTCAGGCTTTGTGCTGCAGGATGACCCAGCCACCTCCCATTCTTTAGACTCTATCCCAGGGGGCCAAGAGGGTAAGGCCCGCAGGGAGGCAGCCAACATACTGCAATAAGTCTGATCTGATAGCTGCCAACAACTCTCACTAAGCTACACATAGTCTCACATACGCAAAAGCACACATGCAGCTAATTAGTATTGCCATTAGATAATACGGCAGGGTTTAATTAGGCCTATTTCTTTTTTAAATAGACATTTACATACATATTCTATGTTGATATCAACATTATATTTTCATGATATATTGTTTTCATTTCTTAAAATTGTAATTTTTTCTTTTGTTCTTTCTTTCTTATTAATAATTTTCCCAGTTTCCTAATCATTAAACCTCGCACTCACCAATCTTTTGTTTGGATTTAGCTTCTGTCTCTGCTAGTATAGATTTGTTTAACTATAGCTCTAGTAACAGTTTACCCTGGCTGGTAGATCATTGACTGGGCCTGCTCTGCCACATCACTTTTGTGGCCGCACGTGGATGACTAACTTTTTCAATGTCTGTGGTTACTAACAAACTTCCAGTAAAGCAGCAGCTATCTCAAATCCTGGGAGATGATCACTGCATCTCTTTCCACTGAACAACTTCCTGTCGGTTGATCTCTTTTGCGAAAAGGTTGATTTGGATCTCCATCTCAGATGACAGTGCTTTTCTATCCCCTTGGTGTTGGTTGAACGCATGACAAAAAGCCTATAATGGACTGTGGTTAAAGGCACAACACTTTAAGCCTTTCCTTCTGAACTAACATAGCACTGCTTCTTGTAGATACCGAAATGGATGTGGGTACCTAACAGCTTCTTCAAATCCTCAACATATTTCTTCTTCATTTTGGTTTAGATGAATAGGAATGTGTAAATAACTTTGCTATAAAATTAGAAACTCAGAAATGTGCATGTTGTTTTGAGAACACAACCATACACATTCCTGCTGTTGAATGGGGAGGGATTCTCCACTAAACATTTTAATTATTTTCACCTGGAGTTAAACAAAGTGTCAATGTTTTGTAGGTGTGTGGGATATCCAAGCAGGTGAGACCAACCAGATGGTCCACATGAACATCCTCATCACCTGCGTGTTTGCTGCCTTTCTCATGGGTGCTCTCCTTGCTGGTCTGTTTGTTTTCTGCTACCGAGACTCATTCCTCCGTAAGCCAAGACATGTCCACAAGGACGCAGAGTCTGCACCATCCTGCTCCGACTCTAATGGAAGCTTTATCAAGCTCAATGGCCTCTTTGACAGCCCTGTAAAGGTAAAGCTATAAAAACAGCTCCAATGCTACATTAAAGTATTTTGTGGAGGTGAGATAATGGACCAGATGTAAAACTGTAATGTTTTTAATTTTCCCAATCCTAGGAGTACCAGACCAACATTGATTCTCCCAAGATGTACACCAATCTGCTGAGCAACGGCAAAGACCTGAATTCACCTAATGGAGACACCAAGACCATGATCCTGCGGGACGGATGTCAGCCTCCCGAGCTGGCAGCCCTGCCTACACCGGAGTCCACCCCTGTGCTTCAGCAGAAAAGCCTGCAGCCCATTACAAACCAGTGGGAGAGGGCTCCTGGAAAGGCAAGTGGACCGCGTCAGGAGTCCAACTCATCAGCCAAGAGTCCTCAGTTCCTTCTTTCTGCTCCTGCTCCTCCCATCTCCAACTCCAACCTCCCTCACCTCGCGTTGGGACACTCACAGATCCCTAGTGCGGTTGTCTTGCCCAATGCCACACATGACAACTCCAACCATGACAGTGGAGATGATACTTTGCCACATTCATCTGAAAGGAGGCTGAAAAACCCAGATTCTAAAGGATGTAGGAAGGAACAGAAAAAGTCAGTGGATGCCAGAAATACCCTAAATGACCTTTTAAAACACCTAAACGACTCAGTGGCCAACCCCAAGGCCATTCTTCAAGAGGCATCAGGGCCTCGTCCACGGCAACATCTTACTCTGGAGCCCATGGAGGAACTGACTGAATTACCCCCCAAGGTGCCCAGCCGTGAGGCTTCCCTGTATTCTCCCTCCTCCTCCCTCCCTAGGAACAGCCCCACCAAGAGGGTTGATGTGCCCCTGCTCTCCACACCAACAACACCAACGGGCAGCCTGAGCATGGGTGGCACCCTGGAGAGGCAAAGAGGGGGGTATCAACTCCACCGGAGTGCCTCTCACAGGCAATCCTTATCCACCTCACCGAGTGGGGTAACCATGGGGGTGTCTGTGTCTCGCCAACACAGTATGAACAGAGGGGGTTACATGCCCCCAACACCCCCCTCCAGACTTGACTCTCAAGGTGGATTGATGGGGGCAGGAATGCACTCACCCCACCAATCCTCTGTACCCCGACAGGGCAGCTACAGTGGGTATGGTTCACTCCCTCGCACAGGGCTTAAACGGACCCCATCGCTAAAGCCAGATGTGCCCCCTAAACCCAATGGGTTTCCACCACAGACTCCACAGATGCGAGTGGTCAACAAGTACAGTTATTAAAAGAGTAAGACACTTCTGAGTGAGCTCTTGGACTTGACTTTGAGCCCCGAGGGCTTTGAGGGGCGACGGATGGGATAGGCCCTATCAGTGTTTGTGTATTGACTTGAGGTGTTTTCCCCCTTTAAAAGATATGCACATTCACTCACACTAAAAAGGGAAAATTCACACATGTGGCCAAAGATACTCCATGGGGCATTTTCGCTCCCTACATCTCCATCTCCCTTCCTTGTGACGATAGCCACAGGATACAAAGAGTGGATGGTAGTAAATCTGCTGCTACCCATTGTATCTAGGTTTGGGTGTAGCCTGTTTCCATATTTGGTACAAGGTTTAGGACACCAGCTGGGGCCGCTATGGTGCCTGCGTGTGTGGTGCCATGTTAATAGTGGAATACTTGAAGAATTGGTCTCATTTGTCACTGCCCTTGAGCACTGTCTTCCCACTAATGTGAACTAAACAAAGAGGAGAGGTAGGCCACGCCTTCGTAGTAAGATGGCTGGGGGCAGTGGAGAGGAAACTCAAAAATCATAAGTCTGCGTAAGACCGCTAATAGCTGAAACATGCAGAGAAAAGAAGTGCAAATACAAATGTGTGTGTGTTTTGTTTGATTGGAAAGCAGATTGGTGTACAGGCAGTATACAAATGTGGCCTACATTTGTTTATCAAGAGTAGTGCCACATGCCAGAGGACGCACCATAAGTCTAAGACCTAAGTCCCTTATTCAAATAATATGATCTCTTAGACTTGTTCAAACCCATCTGAACAGAGGCAAAACACATTTTCTTGTCTCTCTATTGCGAAGTTGGTCATGCTGGGTGTATCTTGGGACAAGTACACTGTATGTCACTGGGAAACTTGGGAAAGTATTTTTGCTGCTATTGGTTTTAAACATAGGTGTTTGTCTTTGATGCATTTGTTTCCTTCTCAAAAAGACTGGGATCGCCCTTGTTATTGGTGTGCATATCTGCTTGTGCGTGAGTAGATTGTATGTGTGGGTTATTTTGCAGATAAAGACAAAGAAGAACAATTATCAGTAACTAAATGCACTGTTAAATCTGATACATGGGGAATAATGCTGGTCCCCAGGACTGAATCCTCCCATAACCTCCACTGCCCCCTGGTAATTATACTGGTGGTTCAAGAGACTCCTTTCTTTATGTAGCAATGGTATTAAGAAAAAACATACATTTCTCATCTCATTCTATAAATGAACTTTGAACAAAATGGTTTGCCTTTATAATGTGTTGACTGTGTTATTTAAAGAATTTACCATATACAACTAAACCAACAACAATGGTGTGTGAATTCAGCATTTCAAGGAACTTCTGTTCTGTAAAAGTGTCTCCCCTTATAGAAAAACAATAGAAACGTCCTTCTACATTAATCCTATTAAAAGGTATATTCAACTGATCCTAGAACAATAAGTGGATGTAACACCTCCGTCATGCTGGTTCTACAGCCCGTGTTCCCTGTGCAGCTTCCCTGCGAGTGGTCAGTGTACAATCAACTCAAAATTACCAATGTGTCATGCTGGGAATGACAAGATCCTGTATATAATGAAATACTATAAATAAGGAGTATAAATATTTTTAGGCAAGTGAACCTGAATCTGTGCATTGTGTGCCTTATTCACAAAACTACTACAGTAAATAATTCTGGCAATGTCAATTGGTCCTCTGTATGTTACTGTCATATACTCTGTAATCAACTTTTATACAAACAATTTGAAAATCATATAGATGTGTTTGAGAACCACAACAAAATCCATACTGAAGTGATGTGGAAAATAAATTGACTGACCGACATTCTACTTTTGAATGCTCGTCGTACAAAAGGACATTCAAAAAAACATTTATTAAGGGTATGAATTGATTTTTCTCCTGTACTACCGGTGTTGAAGAGAATGGTGTTAATCCAGCACATAGAGGTGCCATGCAGTGAATGTATTTTCTTGACAGTGGGATGTAGGGTGGTTAGACCGCAGCACATCCTGCCCACAGCCAATGTATTAAAAGTGTTCACATGAAAGCCTACAGTTGGCATGGGTGGTAGTCACGCAGAATCCGTAATTCCCTAGGATTGCAGAGACAGGAATTATTTCTATTGGCCAGTAGTCACGACTAAGGGACATTATTTAGGAGACTTCTGCAATCCTATCCGAGCGTCAGTTGCCTGTTTAGCCCAAAGCCACATTTTGTTTACAAGTGATGATTGTATGTAAAGACTCTCTGCCCGTCATCTAACCAGTGTTTGGGCCCTCTTTTTGTACTTGACACGTGCCCACTGACATCACAAACATACTCTCAACATAAACATGCTCAACTGCCTTTTACATTGCAATGGGTCTTTCTGTTGCAATCTAAATTGAAGCCTTTATATTTCAGTCTGAGCTCTGTATGTGCAGATCAACCGGATGTTGTCATGTAACTTTGATTTAAATACTGTGCAACATGGCAATGAAAGGCCAGCTGTACATGTGATCTCCAGAGTATTTCAGCTTGTAGATATGTTGTAAAGTTGTACTGTGAATGTGTAAATAATAATGATGGTCTTTGTTTCATGATATTTTTTGTTGATTTTTTTAACACGGCATGTATAGTTGAAATAAAACATTATGGCACAGAAAAAGTGGTCTCCGGGTTGTTTTCAAGTCAGGGAATATGGCGTAGTTGGGTTTCATAGGTCGGCTTCTTATTTTACAGTCTGTCATGTGTTTCTGTTGTGAGAGATCATGATGTGCCGTCACAGAGAGATAACAATCAGACGTTTAGTGCCTTGTGAACTCAGCCTAAAAGCCATGAGATGCATGACTTGGGCGGGTAATAATGTGTCCTTGCTGATCTCTGTGATCTGACTATCAGAGACATGAAGAGTCTGCAGAATGATTAAGAGCTTCAGGTTATTTTTAGAGCTGGGTTGTTTTGAAGTTTGGGGCCAGCACAGAGTCAACCGCGCCAGATAGCATGTGGGAAAGTTTCCAAAGCAGTATGTCCATTTAGAGACCAAACATCTGGACTAACTACTGCTCAGGGTAAGATCCAAGCCACCAATGAGCTGTGAAAAAACGCACACATTATCACTTGCATACATTTCCATGCAAGCAGCATAAACATCCATTGAGTGATGTTACGCACAGATAGGCTTGTGATAAGATTAGCTGTCAACAACAAGGAATCAAGGACAGATGGTTGGATAAAGGAGAGTCCCTTTTTCACGTGTTTTCGATCAGAGGAACGACCACTTATTCCCCTATCAAAAAGACAGACTAGGACATCCTGTAGTACTGTACTTCTGATAAGCCTTCGTGTTAAGTTAAAACAAAAACAGAATCATGCAGAAAATAGATCATAGAAATAGTATTTATTGTCAAAACATGACGGCGGGAATGCAGAAGAAACTGTCCAAATTGTTTTGCATCACAAACAAGGGATGTCCCAGTCGCTTAGTGGTCTACAAACACATGCCACATACCAACAAACATCCTCGTTTGGAATCCGTTCGGTGACATATGTTGCATGCTACCCCCCGTCTCTCTTCTCCTCACATTTCCTGTACACTTATTCAATATTTGCAATCAAATAACACAAAAAACCTTGACTTAAAAATAAATACATCAGTCAATTTTTGACTATCGTTTTTTTTCAGCATCTAAATACTAACTTCCCGCAAAAGGTCCAGTCAACAACCCATATGCAGTCCAATATTAAGATGAAAAGAAAAAAGGGTTTTCATCTCACTGAAGCTCCACATAAAGCAAAAGTGCAGGAGGGCTCTGAGAGCGTGGCTCTTCTGCAGGAGGTTATGCAGCCCTTTGGCTGTTTGGCCAGGAGGCTTTGTGGCTCGTCGCTGCCTTCAGAATGTTGACACAAGTGCTCCTTCATTTGCTTTCAGCAGGACCTCCTGAAAACTTGCACCTCACACACACACACACACACACACACACACACACACACACACACACACACACACACACACACACACACACACACACACACACACACACACACACACACACACGCACACGAAACATTCTCCCCTCTGGGTGTTCTAACGGGGGTTGGGGTGTGATTTGGTTGGGAATTGGGAAGAACAAAGAGGCGCCTCTTGCTATTCTGATGTACATCCCATCCTCTCAATTTATCAGATAGTCTCTTTGAATTAGTGGAGGCAAAATCAAACACAGACAGTGATTCTGTAGCCGTTTCATTCACTTGTGCATCCGCCTGGACACACTTAACTCTCATTACCACCACCAACTGTTACCGGACAAAAAGCATGCGTTTGTTGTCTTCCAGTTCTGTGTGTTTCTGTGTTTCCGTATGTCCGTGCACATGTGTGCTTTAATTTCAGTTCACGAGGGAAAGAGAAAACAGATGCTTAAAAAACACAACGTCTCTTAGTTAGGCTTAGTGGGACACAGCAAGGTCACACATTTAGATGCAGGAAGATGAAAGTAAATAGCTTCAAAGAACAAATTTAAATCTGCTCTGAAACAGAAACTCTCAAGCAGAGAATAGAGAAAAGCCCACATAAACACTTCAGATAGTTCATAACAACACATGTACAAAGTAATTTGGTCTATTTATCTGCTTACTGGCTTTCTCTGCAAGACCTATTGGGAAATGCATGAATGGCGTTTAGACTGAAAATCATTCTTCTCTACTCTTTCCTGACCTTATTTCTTAAAAGCCCAGCGGTGAAACCAAAAATTACATCTACAAGCCTCGGTCATGGAAAGGTACTTGAGAGTTTTTTGGGAGTGCTTTAGTAAGTTCATATGCCCTCTATGATGCATTCGAATTTGTGTCTGGGTAATGCTTCATTTGAAAGCAGAATTAAATGACAGGGAAGGAGCCAACACTTCTGAGTTGGATTGAAAATACGTTTTGTAGGATACTTTTACAGTAGCACTTAAGCACCCTTACATTGACAGTTAATTAATGGCAAAATTGCTTTGAAAAATGACTTAAAAGGCAGGCAAGCAAAAGCAAGGAAGAGAAAGGGATCGTTGAAATATGAGGAATAGAAGTGCCGGCAGGAAGGGACTTGTAGCCTTTGAGTAGAAAAAGACATTTGGATGTGGATAAACTCTAAACAAAACAGATTAATGGAGACACAAAAAGCACAGAGTTCAGTTAAGGGACTTTTCCCAGCTCTCTCTTCAGCCAAGCTCTACAAATCAACGGCTCTGACACAACATAGAGAGACAGTGAGCGAGATGGCAGGAGGGAGAGAACTGGGCCGCAGAGATTTTAATTCATTGGTATATTATATAATGGCTCCTTAGATTTCCCTGAGGTAAATTGCTGCTGTGCTCCAAGATAACCTCTGGAAAATGACATAATAACCTCTTTCTATGCTTTAATTAGCACCGCCACCTGTGTTTTATCATGAGACATTATTGTAATGGGGAATATGGAAGACATTGATATCATTTCATAATAAGTCCACAAAGGCAAAGATTTCTAAAAAGCAATAGGGTCCAGAAAAAAGTCTAATACAAATATAGCATTAATGGTGTTGCTTTTTGTCTTTCCTGATGTTTTCTCTTCATTACGGTAATTCAGTTGCCATGTTGTGCACTATTAGAATGATGAATGTTTTATGTTCTGTTTCTCACCAGCACTTGAACTCACCACTTTCATCAATATAAAATCTTCCTTCTGCCAGCTAGTTATAAATAATTAGATGTGACAAGACGGGGTTTCTTGTTACTTTGAGAAGCTTAACATAAGATAAGATATACTTTATTGATCCCAATTTGGGAAATGTTTTGGTCACAGCAGCATAGATGAGACATTGCACATGAATTATATTAAAATTAAAATTAAAAGAATAAAGATATACATATCTGCAGTAGAAGATAAACAAAAAATACAAAAATAGTGGTAATATACATAACCAATAATGAAGGATATATACCTAGTATAGAATATATATATTGAATACACAATATAAATATACAAAATAGAAGGCAGTGCACATTTAGCTTGTCTAGCCTTTCAATCATTAACTTTAATGAACATAAATCATTAACATGGTGGGTTTGTAGGCTGTTTCACAACAGTAAATATTAAAAAGACAAAAGCAATCAACGTTAATAAAGATATCCTGGTGACAAAACATCACAGGGTAAAATCTGGCCATTAGCAGGTTGTTCAGATAGCCAGTGGTGGAATGTAACATGTTAGCAAGTAAGCTAAGGTAAGTACAAGCACTAAAGTAAATAGGAGCTTGCTGTTACATAAAATAAGAGTATTCATTCCATCCATCCCAAAAGTGATACTAATTTTTTTATCTGTCCAATGTGCTTCTTTAAGATGCACAGGCCTTGCTCCAGCACCTGCAAGTAAAGATGCTTATCTGTCAGGTTTCATCTGGTTACCAGACTGTGTGTTTGTGTGTGTGTGTTCGAAAAAAGTGTTTTGGAGAAGGGGTGGGAGAGTGGGGCAAGTTGCAGCAAACCCATTAAGCGCATATTCACTTACTGAGACTGTAAACACCTGACTGTAAACTCTTGTAGCGAGGGCATCACATACGTATTTAGGTTAAAGATTATCTCAGAAAAGTGTCCATCTGCTAGTTACATAACACCAACCAGCATTGTCTAGGTCGAAGTGAGCAACTGTATTTCTCTCCACTTATTTGTTTCTTTCCACTATCTTTAACAATGCCCTTGTGAAGCCTGACTCAGGCCGTTTACAGTGTGGGTGTTCTGGGAGCTTTGTTGGTAAACCAGTGGATTATCCCAATTGCTTTATGACTAACGCCAAGCCTGCTATTACAGTGCTTTGTCATAAGGAAATCACATGTTCCCAGACACTCACCCTAAGACACACCCCGACACACACCCTTTCCCCGAAGGTTGACGCGAACATACACATCACAGCCGAGGGGGCCCTCACCACCTGCTCAAACCCTGAGCCTGGGAAAGCCCCTGATGCACAAATACATACAGACACACAGAAACAGCCTTTGGAGTTGTAGACCTACCCTCAGGCACAATGAAGTAATAATTCAAACAAAAGCTTGCGCCATGTGCAGCAATATTTCTTCACAAAGAGATCTTTTAGATCAAATCAGACATGAATCACTGATCAGAGCACACCTGTGCAAAGACAGGCCACTTCACACGAACACAACAAAACAAAAAACAATATGGCTCTGTCCCATGGATCAGATGATGTGGGGCAGTTGTAAGTGCAGCACTCTGCTTTTGTTACCGGGCTTAATTGAACATAGCTTGGATCTGACGTTGGCTAACAAAATGAAGTTAGCTCCCTCCCGCATTAGTGCCAGAGCAAATTAATTCTCCCTTCAGATCAATGGGCTTATAGTCTATACCCATCAGCAGAGACAGATTCTACGAGAGGTCTGCTGTATCAGCGGACTGATTTTCTGCCTCTACTCCAAAGCCATCCTCCAACCTTGTTTATCAGTGAGAAGGAATCAGATCAACACACCGAGGCCAATACAAAGCCAGAAACGTCCTCCTGTTGCTTTTTCATCTATATAGATAGAAAACACAAACGCGCCCTCGCTGCTCCACACAGAGTCCAGATCAATACGTAATGGGCATCACACTGAGCAGATGAGCTCCCTCTGACTCTTCCCATCCTTATTGAACA